CAAGAAAAATACAATAGCTGGTAGTAGACCTCCTATCAATTTTAGATCCAACCCAATCAACATCTGTAAAACATTCAATGTGAGTATGCCCATGATTTCTCAACACTATGACGAGTCCCGAGGCACCTTTTAAGTACTACAAAATCTGTCCCAAAGCCTCCCAATGTTTGATTGTAGGTGCCGACATAAATTGACTAAGAACACTGACAGGGTATGCAGTATTTGGACGCGTCACAGTGAGGTAATTCAATTCCAAATTAGTCGCTTGTATTTCTCTGGATCATCAAGGGGATCTCTATCATCTTTTATAAGATGTACATTTGATATCATTGGTGTATTGCATGACTTAACTCTCAGCTTTCCTGTTCTTGCAAGTACATCAAGTACATATTTTCTTTGAGGTAACATAATCCTTTCCTTATTTTTAATTACTTCAACTCCCAAGAAGTTTTTTAACTGATCCAAACCTTTGGTATTAAACTTGGTATGCAAGAATGACTTGAGAGAAAATATTCCTATATAGTCATTTTCTATAATCACAATATCACTAATATAAACAAGTATAATATCAGTTGTTGATTGTCTGTAAAAGACTGAATGATCACACTTGCTCTTCTTTAATCCGAATTCACAGGCTGCCTCACTAAACTTGTCAAACCATACATGGGGATTCTGCTTCAGATTATAAAAAGATTTTTTCCAATAACAGATTTCTCTATACTCCCATGAGGAACAAACTCATGTAGTTGCTTCATATACACTTCTTCTAAGATATCACCATGAAGAAATGCATTTTTAATGTCCAGCTGGTGTAAGGGCCGATCTCGGGAGATTGCAATAGATATAAATAAACGGTCAGAGATAAGTTTGACCACTGGAAAGAATGTATAGAATAGTCAACACCATAAGTCTGAGCATAGCCTTTCGCTACTAATCAAGTTTTAAGTCATGCCACAAAACTATCTGGGTTCACTTTGACTGCAAATATCCATTTGTACCCTACAATCTTTTTTCATTTGGATAAACATTATGAAGAAATGCATTTTTAATGTCCAGCTGGTGTAAGGGCCGATATCGAGAGATTGCAATAGATATAAATAAACGAACAGAGATAAGTTTGACCACTGGAAAGAATGTATAGAATAGTCAACACCATAAGTCTGAGCATAGCCTTTCGCTACTAATCAAGTTTTAAGTCATGCCACAAAACCATCTGGGTTCACTTTGACTGCAAATATCCATTTGTACCCTACAATCTTTTTTCATTTGGATAAACACCATGAAGAAATGCATTTCTAATGTCCAGCTGGTGTAAGGGCCAATATCGGGAGATTGCAATAGATATAAATAAACGGACAGAGGTAAGTTTGACCACTGGAAAGAATGTATAGAATAGTCAACACCATAAGTCTGAGCATAGCCTTTCGCTACTAATCAAGTTTTAAGTCATGCCACAAAACCATCTGGGTTCACTTTGACTGCAAATATCCATTTGTACCCTACAATCTTTTTTCATTTGGATAAATCTATCAGATTTCAGGTATGATTGTCATCAAGAGCATTTATCTCCTCAAGCATGACATTCGGTTACCCATCGTGATTCAGAGTCTTCTTAACTGTCATGAGTATAGAAGTTAAATATATAAAAGTAATTAAAGCATTAGACGAAAGAGATAGATGGTCATATGAGATAAAATTTGCAATGAGATAAGTTGGTGTAGGAATGCTGCATTGATGTTTATCTTCACGAAGACCAATGAGAAGATTCGGGTCCTATAAGGCAGAATCAGATAACGACGGATCTGGTGCATGACATATATCATTAGTTTGTTGTCTTCTGAAATAAAAATAAACAATTGGTTGTGGTTCTTGGGTTAGAGGCACACAGACACTATCATCAACTTGCTCAAATAGAGCTGGAGGCACATCATCTAAAGGCATACTGTTATTTATTTGCTCAGTAAAGGTACCTGGTGTGAAATTGTAGATGAGCTACTCATGGTCCGCCCCCTAACTTGTAGACTTGGACAATAAGGAGAAGAACGATATATTTTCTGAAAATACCACATCAGTTGATACCAAATATTTGTTGAGATTTGGAGAATAGCACCTGTATCCTTTTTGGAGGCGAGAATATCCCAAAAATACCACTTCAAGGCCTTTAGGTCCCATTTTGTCATATTAGGTCGTACATCTCGAACTTAACAGGTGCTATCAAATATCTTAGCCTGCACCGGAAATAAAGACCTGTTTGAAAAACGAAGACTATAAAGAACATCCCCATCAAGTACTAAATATGAAATATGATTAATCAAAAAACAAACCATGAGCCCATAATTGCTTGCGGACTTGCGTTTGGAACAAGTGGACTCGAACTGTTTCAAGTAAATTTCCGTTCTTCCTCTCAGCAACTCTATTTTGAGATGGTATATCAACACACGAGAACTGGTGAAGGATCTCGTGTTGAGTCATATAGTTTTAAAATGAATCTGATATATGTTTCTTGACATTATCACTCCTCAATACATGTGCAAAAACATTGAATTGTGTCTTGATTTTAGCATAAAAAGCACAAAAGTGATAAAATATTTCTGAACAATTTTTCATAAAATATTTTCAAGTCATTCGAAAAAAATCATCCACAAAAGTAACGAAATATTTAAACTCAGTTTTGGTGGACTATGACAGAGGTCCCAAACATCAGAATGAACTAATTCAAAAGTAAACTCAGTTTATCTATTGACAATTGGACCTGATGGATTATGATGATGTTTTGCATATCGACATGACTCACAATTCAGTGAGGACACATCATGAAAGTGAGATCATAACTTTTTCAATACAGGTAGAGAAGGATGTCCCAATTGACAATGTGTTTCAAACGGAGAAATAATAGTAGAGTAGATAACCGATCGAGGCACTCAAGTATTAAAAATATATATACCATTTGATATATTTTCTTTATCAATAATCTGCTTCGTCATAAGATTTTGAAGAATACAGTGATCAAGAAAAAATATAATACAACAATTCAAATATTTAGTAAATTTACTCATATAAATTAGGTTGAAGGCAAGTTTAGGTAGACTTTATACAGATGACAGGGTAATAGATGACGTTGGTTTTGTGGTCCCCAAACCCACAATGTTAGAAGTCGACCCATCAACAATAGTTATAGGAAATGTACTTTGTGTAGTTGAAAACAAAAATAGATATTAGGATTACCTGTCATGTGATCTGTAACATCAGAATCAATCATCCATCTGTTCAAGGAGGAGATAAAACATTTTTTCTCGGATTCAGTAAGAATAAAAAATTTATACAAAGATTCATGATACTGAGTGAATTTAACATACTCATCAGCTGAAATCATACAAGTTCTCTCAGAATATGATTTAATAGTGCAACAACAATATTAGTGGTCTGTATATTCTGATTGTGATTCTATAATTTCTTACAATACCGCTTTATATACTCTGTTCACGATAGTAATATCTGACAATATTATCATCCATTTCAATTTAGGAATTATAAAAAATATACCACTCAGAATACCTAAAACACAACCGTTAGAGATACCCGAAAAACACTGCAAATAAAGCAGAAATTATGAGAAAATAGAATATCTCTTCACACACGGAAACTAAGAAAACCACATTGCTACCACTGGAGTTCACGCGCCGTTGCCGAAAAGCCACGCGCCGCCTACTGAAATTACCAAAATGCCTCTCTTCGGCCAGAAATCATCACAGAACCCACCAGGCAACCAAAATCTAGAAGGGGCTCGCAAAACTACATCAAATAGCACCGTAAAACCGAAAGAACTTGTTGCCACGCGATCTACTCCGTTACGACTTTCTCCGCTTTGGCCTTCTGATTTCTTGCGCAGAATAGGCCAGCCGAGCATTTCTTCGAGTTCTGACCTCGTGCCAAACTCGACCCGTACGTGAACTGGCCTCCTCCAGTTCACCCGATGTGTGAGGACTCAAAACCGTCGAAAAACAGCTTCCTCTGCCTCTTTTGCATGCACCACTGTGTCGCAATCTGAACTAGTTGGAGGACGGTGATTGACTTCCTCTAGTGCTGGGAATGGGTTGTTCAACCCTTATGTGGTATGATCTAATCTGACCTCTAAAACCCTAATTCTGACTTTGATACTATGTAAGGAATTAAAAAAAAATACTGAATATTTCTTTTATTTCATTAAATAGGGTTAGGGGTATATATACATAAAAGAGATATCTATATATGGAAACACAAATTACCTTATTAATGTTAGAAAATTAATCAATAATTATATAAAAATATTCCGTAATATATTTTATAATATTGTAATACCCCAAATATTTTGTGTTTCCTTTGCTTCACATTTCCTAAAACCTCTTTCTTCCATATCTTCAATGTTTTATTCAGGTGCTTTAATTTTCTCATAAATTTGTGGCTCTCCTATTCTCTTTCCTCTTCCGGTTGCCACTATTCCCAAATCATATCCTTGAAGTCAGGGTCCTCAAACCGCATATTTTCAAAGCGGAAAGGGGTTGGGTCCCATCTGATATGCTGTGATTCAAGTAAGATAAGAAAGTGATCCAACACAGGACATGGGAGCAGTTCCTGGATTAGATTAGGAATGCTATCCTCCTAGCGTAGTAATAAGAAAGAAACTCAACCAAGAAAAGACAATACCTTGACGTTTCACAAACCACGTGAATTGTCCGTTAACTAGAGGGAGATCTCTTAATTGTTCTATTATTAAGTTATGATTTCCCATTAGATTCATGTGAATGTAAGGCGATCATTAAAAATTTCACATTAAATTTTATGCTTGAAACCTTAATTGTTACCATATTCCTTTCTTTCCTCTTTCATTGGGAAAAGGATTCTAGAGTCAATTTTCTTCCTAATACAAATTGTTCTATTATGTAAGTGCTCTTTTTTTTTACTGCAAGAAGTAAATTCCAAAATGCATTTCTGATTCTGTTTTTTGTAAAAAAATTATACAGAGTTCGTATGCACTATGGACATCCAGATGTGTTTGATCGAATATTCCATATAACTCGAGGTGGCATCAGCAAGGCGTCACGTGTCATTAATATCAGTGAGGACATATTTGCTGGTAAGAAAGATCTGTGGTTTTTTTTCTGTCAGTCATTTTTTTCTTTTTTTTTTTCTTTATTATTGAATCATATTTTAATATAGGAATTGTGGGTGGTAACAGTTTGCCATTAAGAGTAATCTTCTTTCCTCAATCTTTTCATGGTTGATGTGGAATAAAGTCCTAGGTCTAAGTCTGTTGGTGTCAATTATTATTTCATTTAAAAGAATGTGATCAATAACATAAGATTGGTGAATTTTATCTAAAAAAAATGCAAGATTGGTGAATTTGTTAAAATACAAACATGGAGGGATTTGAACCCCCAGTAAACAAAAGTCTATATAGAAGTTCCAATGTTGCACCTTAAACCATTCGACTGTCTCTCTACATTGTGGCTAATTGATGCTTTTAGCTCATAATTCTCTGTAGACTCTAATTCGAATTCCATTTCCATTAGAGTCCTAAAAATTCTTTTCTAGATTTAGACCCTTCAACAACATCCTTACCTTGTAGATTTATTACAAACGCCATGCATATGTATTACGTATTCACAAATCATTGAAGAGACTTTTTTCTTTCTTTTTTTCTTTTTGCATTTATTTGTGATTTGATTATCTGGTATGTACTCTGCTACGCACAAAAGAAAAGACAAAACTAGAAGAACTTGATTAATTTTACTGATAGAAAGTTATTAAACAAAAAAGTTTGGTAAAGCAGAAAACAAATGATAGTAATGATTCTGGACCCAACAATAGAGTTATTTGATCCATTTGCTAGAGTAACACTATAAGATCTTTATGGGAGTTAGAGGAGGAATGAGTACTTCGACTACGCTTCATATGATATGAAGTAGTTGACATGCTAGCATATTTCCTAAATGCCTTCCTATTAGTTTTGTAATTACATAAACTTGTATAGATGTCTATTAACACATTGACCCTATAATGCCTCTAAAAGCATTAGTCTACAGTATAAATACACTCTAACATACAATCTAACTATATTTAGAGTGCCGTTCCTTTCCTCTCTTTGGGCCGAGGGCACCTATCTACTATTTCAAGAGAATAGGTTGCTATTTCTTTTGATGTTTCTTCTTCATTATATTTGTTTTGTTTCATACGTCTTCTTTTATAAGAGGATATGTTGGTGTCCCATCCACATTTTAATCTCTTCCTCCCCTTTTAATAATATTCTTCTTTTATCAAATAAAGGGGGAAACCGGTGCATAGGCTTTTCTTTTTGAATTCCTGTTTTTAAACATTTTTTTCATAAGTTTTGTGGTATAAGAATATTGGCATTAGGCTATGAGTTTTCTCATTGCTAAGAAAATAGTTGACAATCACTCTTCACAGTTCAAATTTTGTGATAATTTTGGTGACTAACACAAGATTTATGCAAAGTTTAAGAATATGTAGCACATTTTTAAAATCGAAATAGGACTAATGTGATAATAAATGAGGTTCCTTGTGACAAGCAGAAGACCCATGTGACAACAAAAGGGTGGAAGCGATCATACAATAGTGTGCTTCCAAGACACATTAGGAAGTACTCCTGAGCAGAAAGTGATAACGAAGGATCTATTCAGAACAAGGACCACAAAGAGAGTAAAACTGGGACCCCGAAGGAACTAAACCGATGTGAACTCCGATCTAGAAGAAGAAGAAATAAGAGGTGACTCAAGACGAGTAAGTTATTGGGCTTCACAACTGAGGAGAGGCTCGGCCCGAGGAGTCTGCCCTAAGAGAAAGCCCAAAACACCATTTGGGTATGGGTACCCATCGGGTACACATGTGCGAGCAAGAGCACTCGCGCATACAGGTATTCCAGTCATGCAAGAGAGCACGCGGAACATGCGAGGAACCCATGCCTGTGCACAGCAAGAGCGTGCATATGCACGTGCACGCATTAGGCAGATGTGCACAGGAGGCACATGTGTGAGCAGGACAGTTGTATGCCTCAGGAGAGCGCATGTGCGCGCGCACCCAGCCCGTCATGCGCTGGGACACACATGTGCAAGCAGCCCCTGCCACATGCATATCCGGTCCACTCGTGCGTAGGAAACTTCCACGTGCGCCAGACACACGCCACCTGTAGGCGTGCGGGCCAGACACCCACGGACAGCCTGTCTGCAGGCCATGATTTGGACTCTCATTCCTTTTTCTTTGTTCCTATCTGAGTTCCATACAGATTCCTACTCAAAATTTGGAGCAAAATTCAGCATAAAAGCCAAGGAAGAGGAAGAATTTTACTTAAATTAAAATGGTATTATTTTAATGTTTTATTTGGAGTTTTAGATTAGGATTCTATTGTTTAATTAATTTCCAATAAGAGTCCTAGTTAAATTAATATTTAAGACTTCAAGTAGGAATGTGTAATCCTACTACGAGTCGGAGTAGAAAATAAAAGTCTATTAAAGGACATTAGTCCTTAGGTTGTAATTGCAACTCAAGAATTCAATTATTCAATAAAGTTTCAAGCTTTTGCTTGCTTCTTCAAGTTTTTTAAGTTAAGGAACTTTCAAAAGTTTTGTTGAGTTAGGAAATCAGGATTAATTTATCGAGTAAGTCGTAGTGTCCGTTCTTTTCCTTTTAATTTTCCAATTATCTTGGTTGTTGCATTACATATTGATGAGTGATAGACTAAACTCTTACTTGAGGCCTGTAATAAGCTAATTGGTACGATCTTTATCCACAAATTACTTGAGACGGATTGTATCTTTGTTGCAGTCCATATTAAGACTATTTGTTTTCTCGCTTTGTTAACCATGTCTTGAAATTTAGATCATAAATCTGGGCTACATCTTTGACTTTGACTTATGTTTTCTTGATTACATCCCATATTTCTTTTGTCGCAGATAAAGAGCATGATAATTTTATTTATCTATGGCGAAATAGAATTCTAGAGCCATCTCATAATCATCGAGTCTTCCTTATCCCATGCATTAAATTTAGGTCTCTTGGCATTTCTCTAGCGCTCAGTAGGTGGCTAAGCTTTCTTTTCTCTTTGAGTGTGATCTGAATTAATTGTGACCAACTGAAATAATCTTCCCAGTGAAGTGATAAGCAGCTTGGGTTTAGCTGAAATTTGTTATTGTTTTGGGTATACTTTTGTAAGGATCCGGGTGCAGAGAAGATTTAACTAGCAAGTACAGGATCAGCAGGGGTGCACAAGTAGAACTATGGAACTAAGTGCAGGGGAGCAGACCATTCCAAGGAATATTCTAGAAGAATAGACACGTGGCACGATCTGGGAAAACATGGGATGCGTGGCGCCTTCCAAGCTATAGGAGACAACATGCGTCTATATTTTTTGAGGATGAAATCTTGGCTGTCAGATCAGCATTCCGGGACACGTGGATGGCGATTAAGAGGGGTATTTAACGGCTAAAGGTTTGGGTTTTTGGGGACCCGGCAGATGCATATCCACTGCTTTGGATTCCTCTGAATTCGGCTCTCGAATTTCTAGCAGAATGGAGTAGAGTCGAAGCATCTCTGGTCATCTTTTTTATATATAATCACCTATTTTTGTAGATGTAAGCATAGAATGAATTATTTGGAATATATTTTTATTCTCTCACTAAACTTTTCGATCTATCTTTCTTTTATTTCTCTATCTTCCTCTCGGAAACCTCTTCATCTCTCTCGGTTTTCTTCCTCTGTTTCTGTTCTCCTCTGATCTCGCTCTCTATTTTCTCTCTCTCTTTACTTAAACCGAATTACTTACCCTTTTAGATCCGAACCATGTTCTTAGGTCTTGACAAATTTCCCATGTGATATGTGACCTCCAACATATTTTAAGAGTGTTAGGACAATTAAAGCCAAAATAAAAGTTATGGGAAGGATGTTACCAGGTGGATGGAAGGAAACACAGCTGACGGAGGCTGGGTGAGCATGCTGGGCAGGATAACTGCATAAAGGGTGGCTGAGCAAGGAGGTGTGCTGCAGCTGGATAGAGGTGGGGCACAGGTTTGGTGGCTGGGCAGAGACATGCGAGGAGTTGCATGGAGGCACACTGTGCAAGTGAAGCTGCGGCTGGTTGTGCGTGTGGCTGTCTATCCATGTTGGAGGATATGATGCCGCTAATGGAGGCTGGCTTCTGATGCTGGAAACTGGTCTATGGTGGGCTGGTGGCTAGTTTGTGGTGGGCGACAATGGAGGCTGGTCTCTTACGGTTTTGTTGCTTATTTTGGCAATGAATGCAAATAAGGATTTGTGAAGGAGGCCTAAGGTTTTCTCCCTAGAGCTTTGATATTTTGTCAAGAATGATTGTGTGCGTAATTTATTGAAATATTGTACTCCTATATATTCAGGTTTTTTAAAATAGAAAAGAAAATAAACCATTAATTATATTAATTATATAGGATATATTTTGCCCTAATGTCTGTTAACGTAATTACATATTCTCTTTTAACATTTTCTAATAGTTTTTCACCATTTCCCTTTTAGAACTAAGAGAATATTTTTAAATAAATTCCACAAACATATTTTGTTTGTTCCGATCATACCCTTTAAAGGGTGTACAAATGATTATAAGCTCGTAACCTTCAAACAAAGAGTCCCGTATATTCTACTAAGATGATGAACTAAAAATTATTAGGTGCTTATAAGTATCTTTGAGCAGTATTAAGTTTATTTTTTGTATGTTCAATTCTTTATTTATCCTTTCATCAGTTTTTGAACCACAACAGAAGTGTTTATTCTTTTTTAATAAACACAAGTATCTTCTTAATGAGTTTGAACTAACACTGAGCAAAGTCCAAAATCATGATTTTAATATTAAATTTGGTTTTCAACGGAGAAGTGGAAGGCTGGAGTTGTTATCACATGCTTATTAAACTTTTTCTGGTTAAATAATTTGTATGACCCAATTAAATTGGTGCAGGGTTTAACTCCACGTTGAGGCAAGGAAATGTAACGCACCATGAGTATATTCAGGTTTGTTATATTTGCAGATACTCTTTCCATTTTTTTCTTTTTTTACCAAAACAGTCAGTTTTATGTTTATTGATACTGTGTTTGCACATATAGGTTGGAAAGGGAAGAGATGTAGGGTTAAATCAGATTGCCCTATTTGAAGGGAAGGTAGCTGGTGGAAATGGAGAGCAAGTCCTGAGTAGGGATGTGTACAGGCTGGGACAACTTTTTGATTTCATTAGAATGCTTTCTTTCTATTTTACAACAGTTGGATACTACGTATGCACAATGGTACAATCAATTCTTTGACCTGATGTCTTGATTGTTTGAGTGAGTTTATAATCAGATTTTTCTAATGAAAATTTTCTCTTTAATGCAGATGACTGTCCTGACTGTGTATGTATTCTTGTATGGGAGAGCATATCTGGTAATTTAAAAATGTTTGGTTTCTTAAATATGCTACTTATCCAGTTATTATAACAAATTTGTTTTTGCTTCTTTTCCTGATTTACATGATCCTTAAAGCTGGTATCAAAAGACATGGTTGTATTATATTTATCTGGTTTCTTAACATACCTAGCTTTTAATTTAAGGATAAGGTTCTTACAAATTGTTTAAGCACACATTTCGGTTCCTTTTTTTTTGTGTATTATGTTTTCTTTTGTCATTAGACTTGCTAAGCTTTCAGCTTTTTTAGCCATTTATTCCATCATTTTGTGTATGTTAGATAGGAGGAACCTGTATCAATTTCTATAACAAGATGTGAATATCTTTCAGTTCTCAATGGTTCTAAGCAGAACCTGCTTCTAGATAAAGATTCTTATATTCGTGTGCTTACTCTTTAGGCTTTTTCTGGGATTGATCGCGCAATTGCAGTGGAAGCAGAATTGTCTGGTAATACTTCATTAGATGCAGTTCTGAACACGCAGTTCTTGGTTCAGATTGGAGTCTTTACTGCAGTCCCTATGATTATGGGTTTCATACTTGAATTAGGATTGTTGAAGGTTTGTCATCTGAATCTATTGATCGAGGATCTTTTCTCTTCTCCTAACTATGCTCAGGATGTGGTTCCCATATGCTTCCTGACTTGCAACTGGTAATGACAGTTTTTAAGTCATTATTTTAACTCTTTTCATTACTTTCATGTTGCAGGCAGTTTTC